ATGCGGAGGTGAGCGGGGCGGGCAGCGGGGCGGGCAGCGGGGAGGGCCGCCGCCTCGGGGGGTGAGCGGGGCCGCGCTCCGCCGGCTCCGGGCGAGGTTTCCTCCGGTTTTGGGACAGCCGGCGTGGGGCTCGCGTCAGACCTTCCTCCGGGTGACAGCACGGCCCGGGGATTCATCCGGCGCCTCGCCGGGCACGACGTTCCTGTGGGGACGGCGACGCCTCGGAAGGCTGCTTTTTGGGGGGTCCGCCGGGGGCGTCAAACCCTCCCGGAGCTGCCGTGGTCCCAAAAGCGGCAGCGAGACCTTTCAGCTGGAGCTGGGCCGCGTGCCCGCCCCTCGCCGGTGCAGCGTCGGCCCAAAACGGCTTCCCGGGACAGGCGTGGGCGTCCCCTGCCAGCCCACGCAACGGCTGAGCCGAGCTGGTGCCAGTGGCCCGGTCCTGCGGCAGCCAAGGGCTCGGCAGAAGCCCATGCTGAAGCAGCGGCGTTTGCAAAAGAGGGGTCAGCCGGGCCCCCGCTGCCATGCCAAAACGCGCGCCGTCTGCGGGGTGACGATGGATGCGGTGTCCGTCTGTCTGTCTGCGTGGAAACAGGTGACCCCAGGAAGGAAAAAGAGAGCTTTCCATAGAGTGCTGCTCAAATTCACTGTTTCTCTTTGCCCTCGCAGTTTTCTTTCTTTCTTGACTCATTTGAAACTAGCAGTGTCTGTTTAGAGACTGATACAAAACAGCTTTCCAGCAATCAAAATAAGATTGCATGTGATTAAAAAAAACCCAAAAACACCAAACAATCTCCCTGGGGTATTTTTAATGTTCTCAAAGCAGTCCCAAATCTGTTGGTTTTTCTAGTTAACATTAGTGGGAGCTTTGGTCAGGTAGTTCTCATTCCTTGTTTTGCTTTAAATCCTGTAAAAACAGTCAAGGAGGTAGAGAGGCTGTAGCAGTGGTGCGTTTTGAGCAGTGTTTTCCCTGTTGCCTTACTGACCACCTCTGTGCTGTGCATGTGTGCCTCAGGGTCAATAGCAGCCTGTCCAGCGATGAGCTCCTCCTAGAAGACTTGGAGACGGAAGGAGAGAGGCAGCTGAAGAGCCTCCTTCACCACCAGCTCGATACCACTGCTTCCATTGAGCAGTAAGTCCTGGTCTGGCCCCTTGGGGGGTTGCCAGAGTGGCTGGTGAGCAGACTCTGGCCGTGTTAGGGGCAGCAGCAGCGTTGCCTCGCTGGGGCCTACTCCTTGGGGAGATGTTTGGCGCAGGCTGTTGTTGTGCCATGCAGACCTTTGCTGTGTCTCCTGCTCAGGCACCCCAGCAGGAGATAAGCACTCCTTGTCTCCTGGAGCAAACGCTGGCTGTAACTTATTTTCACCTGTTAGGTGAAAATAAACCATTTGCCTGGGCCAGACACGGGGGTGAGTTTCTAGGCTAGAGAGCTCCTCCCCACCAGGCTGGCCTGTGTTTGCACCTGCTGGGTGTTTGGTGTTACAGTGTCACGACGTGCCTCCTGCCTGTGTTGGGGCAGCTTCCTGCCCTGTGGGATCTTGTGGGCTTGGAAAAGGGTCGGGAGAGTGTGGCTCAGCCATGTTTTGGAAACACTGCTTCTCTGCCTACATGCAGCAGGACCAAGCATGGTTGGGGGGAGAAGCCAGCCCGCTCCTATTCCCCCAGTTGCTCAGTGCTAAGTTGTTTCTGCTGTTCTGTTGCTTTGGGTTACAGGTGCAAGTCAAAGCGGAGATGCTTCGCCCCTGCAGCTTTTTACAAGCCTTTTGGGGAAGAGGCTGCGGGGGCTTTGACCTTGTCGCAGTTCCAGGCCCTGCAGGAGAGCAACAAAGAAACTGCCTCACTCCGGGAACTGGGGCTTTCCGACTCAGAGATCCTGCTCTGGAAGAACCGGGCTTCAACAGGGAAGGTAGGCATTCTCTGCTCTGATGTGAACATGGCCAAGTCCCTCTAACCCCGTGGCCTGTGGCACCCTGGTAGAAAATTCAAGTCCTTTGTAAGCCCTCTAGTAAAGAATGGCCGCTCCATGTATCTCTTGCCTTTAGGCCAGCATGATCCCGCATTTCTTCTGGCCTGTTTTCTTTGGTGGACTGGTTTGTGCTCACAGCTGTCACGGAGAGAAGAGTTGGTCCTTTGGAACACAGCAGGACCTGACTATATTCCTGCCTCTGTCTTGATGGTCTCAAGCAAATCATTTCACCTGTTTATACCTGTGTAAGAAGGATTTAAAGGCTGGAGGAGAAAAAGGAGGAAACATTTCAAAGCGCCTCAACCTCCACCTTTCTGTATTCTGACATCTTCCTGGACCCCATGGCTGGCTTGGGATAGCTGTCTGTAGGGAGGGTTTTGTACATTCTCCTCAGGGGCTTGCAGATGTTTCAGGGGACTTGAAACAGCCAAGTAAAAATAGCAGTGCAGAGCTGTTAAACCAAGTGTGTGATTGCAATTACGTGCTCCTCTTTGGGTGCAGTTTGCAGCAGAGCAGTGCCAAAGCAGATTTCTCCTCTTCCCCTACCTTCACCTTTTTTTTTCATGTTCCAGAGACAAGGGGCTTTCTGGGTTGTCCTGTGTCAGGTGCACTGGAGTGTCCTACTCTTAATTTGGTAAACCAGAAGGTGCAAAACAGGACTTGGGCTGACCCTTGGCTTCCCTCTGTCTCCTCCTCTTACTGAGCAATAGCTGTGTGCAGGAGGAAGCCGACCGTGGTAGTCGTGGGTTTGCATCTTGACAGCTGAAGTCATTACTTGCTTTGCTGTTTAAATGCAAACCCAGCCCTGGTGTGGCCTGTATTAAAGCTTGGTTTAGAGAGGGGTGGTGTTAATTTAAGAATGAAAATTAATGTAAATAGTACTAGCTGTTGTATTTGGTATGAAATCAGTTCTGGGATGTTTAGAAATAAAGATTAGCATGGAAAACACTACTCTGACAGAAAGAACCAGTGACATTAGGGTACATCTTCTACAGCTTGTGAGAGAAGAAGAATATTTAGAGAGAAAGCCCAAGTCAGGTAGCGATGTGCAGCTTTGTATGTGGAGGCACTGAGTGAAAGATTCCACCAAGGAGGAATCAGCTGAAACAGAGAGGACTTCAGATTACCCGTGGAGCTCTTGGCAAAGTACTGAGTGCAGGCTTCTGTTATTTTCAGCTGCTAAGTTGCAGCTTTTTTGAAAACAAAGTGCTACAAATTATTTCCCAGAATTGGTCTTCCATATAAACAGCCTTTTGTGCCCCAGGGAAGCCATGAAATGGTGAATGGATGCTGTGCAGATGTGGGCCCATGCAGTCAGGCGGGAAGGGAGAGGTACTCGTGGGAGCGTCTTTGTTAGATTGTGCTCAGTGTAGGGAGAAAAGCTGGTTTCTTGCCTGAGGCAGAAGGATCTGCCACAGTAATTCTCGAACTGAATTTGAGGAAAGAAAATCCATCTACAGCCCCATAAAAGCACGTTCTCTGGATTCTGATAGAGGTGGATGGGGGAACAGAAATGCCCCTCCAGAAGTTGGGGTATGTCTCTGTGCTTTGGCAGCACAAGTCTGATGAATCTTAGCAGTGTCCTGGCCCTGTGCAGTGAGGTTTTTTTACACAGGAACGCTCGCTTGTAGCCAGGTTAGCTATGAGGTCTGTGCTGCAGTAGCTGGGTGGTTTCTGGGAGCTGGCTCATGTGAAGCTGGTCAGGTGTTTAGTCCTCAGCATAAACCTACCCTCAGGTGCCAAACAGCAGCTTGGGGTCCACTTTTCAGCAAATAAGGTTCTCTCACTGACGCCAGGGTCATAGACCAAAAGCTTGGTGGAAACTTGAGCTCAAGGATGCTATAGGCATGTCAAAAGAAACGCTAAAGGTTGTTTGTGCAGTTACTGTAGGTGGCTGTCGTGGTTTAAGCCCAGCTGGCAACAAAGCACCGCAAGGCCGCTTGCTCATTCCTCCCCCCCATGGGATGGGGAGGAGAAAATACAAAGAAAAGCTTGTGGGTTGACACAATCGCCAATTATGGTCATGGGTGAAAACCAGACCATTTTGGTTTTTGTGGAAAAAACAAAATAAATTTAATTTACTACAAATCAAAACAAGCATAATGGAAGTAAAACCAAATCTTAAAACACCTTCCCCCCTCCTTCCTGGCTCAACTGCACTCCGATTTTCTCTACCTTCTCCCCCCCAGCAGCACAGGGGGATGGGGAATGGGGGTTGGAGTCAGTTCATCACACGTTGTCTCTGCCGCTCCTTCCTCCTCAGGGGCAGGACTCCTCACTCTTCCCCTGCTCCGGTGTGGGGTCTCTGCCACGGGAGACAGTCCTCCATGAACTCCTCCAACGTGAGTCCTTCCCACAGGCTGCGGTTCTTTGTGAACTGCTCCAGTGTGGGTCCTTTCTGTGGGCCGATATTCAGTCACAGGCTGCTCCAGCACGGGCTCTCCCACGGAGTCCTGGCTATCTTTGGGGGCATCCATCCCCCTGCTCTGGTGTGGGCTCCTCCCCGGGCTGCAGGTGGGCATCTGCTCCCCCATTCCCCTCCATGGGCTGGGGGGGGGACAGCCTGCCGTCTCACCACAGGCTGCAGGGGCATCCCTTCCTCCCCCACTCCTCCTCCCCTCTTTCTTCACTGACCTCAGTGTCTGCAGAGGTGTTCCTCTCACATTCCAATACCCCTACTTACTGCAGGTTCCCCTTCTTAAATCTGTTCTCCCAGAGGCACTATCAGCATCGCTGATGGGCTCAGCCTTGGCCGGCGGTGGGTCCGACTTGGAGCTGAGGAAGCTTCTAGCAGCTTCTCACAGGACCCACCCCTGCAGCCCCTCCCCCACTTACCAAAACCCTGCCACACAAACCCAAAACAGTGGCCTTAGAAAATGGCTATAGCTGGCAGAGGCAGGGACTTCTGGGACAGAGGGACACAGGCGCCGTCAGACAGTGAGGCCAGGGAAAGGAAAGCAGCACAGAAAGGTCAGGAGAAAGGGGCTGTTTCTCCACTTCTCTCAAGAGCTGAGGATTGGTGAGTGGTTGTATTTCTGTTCTACCCTTGCAGTAACAGGACCTCTTGGTGACCTGCTCTTTGCGGGGTGGTTCCTAATTGCACCCACTCCAGGGCTGGAGGATGTGAAGTTTGACTGCTGGCTGAGTCTCTGAAAAGGAGGCATGTGCTGTATCTGAGCAAAGCTGTGCCTGTCTTCCAGGGCTCTGGGCTGGGAGCAGCCCCGGAGGCCACGCAGGACCGACTCCATGCCATCCAGGAGAAGATGGAAGAGCGTCAGCGCATACTCGCTCTGCCCCAGAGGTTTGCTGGCAGCAAGCAGCTGAGCCGGCGGGAGATGGAGATTGAAAATGCCCTCTTTCAGGGAACAGATCGCCACTCCTTCCTCCGTGCGCTCTACCACGAAGGTTTGTGGGCTCAAGGCTGTTCCTGCCTTTGCTTCAGCACAGAGAGCTGGTGTGTGTGGGAGTCTAACACATTTCTGTCTGGCCTTTTGTCCCTGAAGACATGGTTCTGTTTTGGCACTGTGTGGGAGGAGATATTTTCCTCTCTTACACGAGCCGACAGAGAGTGGGCTTTCTGAAGGGTTTAATATAGAGGCTTGTAAAGTCCATCTCTGTTTGGAGAGCATGGATCTCGTTGACATGCTGTATGTACTGCAGAGCCCAGCTCAGTATGTGGAAGAGCAGCCGGGATTATGCTTTGGTAGAGCCCATAGGTCTCCACTGAGCTGCACCAAGTGACACGAGGTGTCTGTGTGGGGCTAGAGATTGTCCCTTCCCTGATTTAACTGCAGTCTAACAAGAGTGGGAGGGAAGCAAAGACACAGAGCAGGAAGGAGTAGGAGTGACTTGTTAAAGGCTTCTCCCAGTAGCTGAAGTGGAATTGGAGCCCAGTTGCTGATTCCCAGTACCGTGTCCACAGGATGACAGCACTTCTCGCCCCAGCAGTGTTGTCCCTGAGCCTGTGGCTTAATGTGACTTTTCTGGATGGAGAGTCAAGTGTTGTCCAGAGATGGCAGAAACTATTCCAGTCTGCTTTAGCTGGATAACGTGTGGGCATGAAGCTCCAGGCCAGACTGATTTTTTGTAAGACAGTATTAAACAGAAGATGAGGAGGAACTTCTAAACTCCTAACTCCTAAAACACCACTTTGATCGGTGTTGATGCTGTTCAGGCTATAATGTTCAGCTGACCCAGCATCCTCTGGCCTCTGCTTCCTCCTTTGGTGTTAGTGTTCTAGCATTTAGCAAAACCAAGAGGTAGCAAGGTTGAGGCTTGTAGGCTGGGAGATTGCCCTCTCACTTCTGTCCTCATTTCCATTAAATAGAGTAAAGGAGTTTCATTGGTCAGTCCATGCCATGGACCTTCTTTAAACCCAGGAGTTTAATCTGATGTCCCTGGAAGCAAAAAGTTTTTATTCCATGTAGTGGTGTAGAAAGGCAGCATGGAACATCCTGGCCCTGCATGCAGGATGAGGAAGTTGTGTTGAAGGAGTCACTAGGATGTGCTGAAATGTGGCTGCAGATATGCTTGCAAGGACATCTCTGGAAGAAATGCGCTCTGTACAAAGCATTGGTGGAGCTGCTGCTCTCTGCAGGTTCATCCTGAGCTGGGACACCAGTCCTTGCTGGCTGCTGGGGCTGTTCTTGTTTTAAATAACCTGCAGGGCCTGGTTGGCAGATGCATGGAGGCTGGGTTGAAACAGGGTTTCTCCTGTGTCTCTTCCTGCAGTCTGTGCTTTTTCTAGGTTCTTGGTGGTAGTCACATTACCGTGTTTCTCCATTGTGGATTAGATGACACTCAGAAGAGGGTAACAGATGAAAAGGACCCCATGGTCCACCTGGAGAGTGTTTACCAAGAGCTGCTGAGCAAGAAGTGGCCTGAAGAAGTCCAGCCTACCAAGAATGACCCATGCTTGTGCCCTTCCCTGGCTCCTCAGGGGCCTGTGGCTGAGGAGTCATCGCTTCCAGACCAGGAAGAACAGGCAAGAAGTCCCAGTCTTCCTGCAACAAGGCCCCACCATTCCCCTCCAAGTCCTGTGGTTATCAAAGAGCCTGTAGAGTTTGTCCCGGAAGAGGAGATCTGCAAAAACCGTCTCTCAGAGGAAGAACTCCAGAAAATACCCAGGTTCTCGTCCTACCATCCTGGGGAGCCCAACAAGGTACACTGAGATGAACCAGGATTTCTTCTTCCTCACGAGCATGCCCTGAAGCTGCTTCAGCAGGCAAAGGCTCCTCTTTGCTGTTGCCTGGAGGGTGCTTGGTTGATCCTTCTCCAGCCAACAAAGAGCAGCCTCCGCTCTGGGAGGGAAGGGGTACTTTCGGCTCTAGTGGGATGTTGCCCAGGCTGGGCAACTTGCAACTGGCAAGTACTTCAGACCTCAGCCCTTCCTGGCTTTGGCAGGTCATTAGTCAAGATGTGCTCTCCTTGTTTGGGCCTGACTGAGACCAGCTGTGACTTTACTCAAACTGTGTTTAACTGGCAGCTGGAGCTTGTTGCGTTTTATAAATAACTGGAGCTGTCAGCACTTGGCGCAGGCAAGCATGATGATGCCTTGAGTCCAGAGCTGCCTTTCGCCGTACATCCACATGTCTTCCAAACTCCACTGTTAGCATGCGGGTAGAAGGGCTCTGAGATGGCAGAGGGACTGAACTATTTCATACCTTTGAGGTGTACAGACTTGGGACCAGGCTGAAAAGTGTATGTTAGCATGGCACAGGCCAGCTGACCCTCTGTGTCTCTGGAACAGGTGCTGTATTTGAAGAACCTGGGCCCTCGAGTGACAGTGAAGGACCTAGTGTCCTTGTTTGCTCGGTTCCAGAAGGAGGACAGCCCACCGATCCAGTTCCGCCTCCTGAGTGGTCGGATGAGGGGTCAGGCTTTCATCACCTTCCCTGGTGAGTTGCTGCCTCATACCTCTCTGTTCTTCCCCAACCCACGAAGGTGCCACATCTTCCTGCAGAACACTGGGCTAGCACCAAGCCCGCTCTCCAAGGAGAAGGAGGGGAGTTCACTCCCTCTTCTTCCTATCACGTCATAATCTTTTGCCTGGATTGGAAGAGGATTAATCGAAACAGAAGGGATGCAGTCTGTTACGTGCTGTATTTATATTCAGCATGTCACTCTGGCTGGAGGATCCCAGTGCTGCACTGTATTGCGGTGCAGGCTGAGGGTCCGTGAGCCGGGAACATCTGTGTGAACACCATGTGTCTGTGCCAGAACGTGCCATGTGACCTGCACCCATTTTGCTCTCTTGTTGCAGATATTCAGTCAGCCCAGGATGCCATGCTGTTGGTGAATGGGTACAATCTGCAGGGGAAGCCTCTGGTGATTGAATTTGGGAAGAGCAAGGGGCATTCAACAGACGCTGACTCTGCCATCCCCTGCTCCTCTGCTGGAGAGAACCTCCCTTCCAAGTAAGGGATGGATAACCGGGAACCTTGTGCATTTGCATGGGCCATGGGAACTCCTTGGTTGTAACTGGGACAGTGAAGGACTGTTGGGAGTTAACATGCAGGTTCATAAATCTCAAAGTGGGGAAGAGAGCAAGCTGGGGACTAGGCTCTTCCTTGAGAGAGATGGGCACTGTCTTTACACTGTTGGGATGTACTGGCTTTTTCTTCCTATTCTATGTGTGTGTCTGCCTTCTCAGCCCTTTATGGCAAGGAGGGAGGGAGGAAGCTCTGTAAATAAATGTATTTATTATGGTATTGCCTTAGTGTGTGTTTATTCAACTTTGTCCTCCGCAAGTCTTCTAGAACCAAGTGTGCTGCACTCTGCTGATGCAGGACTGTATCAGCAGAGTTCAGTCCTGGCCTCTGTGCTGGGAGTGGGAGTACCTGACTGGTGCAAGGACTGGTGGGGCTGCTGCCCCGTCTCTGGTGGCAGCAGATACGTTGCTTTAAGACAAGAAAAAAGGCTGCCCCTTTTCTTCCAGACATTTTGGCTGCACAGGTATCTAATTACACAGGTCTTTTATGATGGCAAGTATGTCTTGGCTCCTCACTGTTGATCCCCATAAAGCCCTGTGGCGTGGAGGATGGTTGTTCTGGTGGCGTACCATTGTGGTAGACGCAATGGTTTATCTGCTGACCTGTTTTAGCGCTTTTGGTGAACAAGGCAAGCTAATGTCATATGCTTCCTACAGTATCCCAGCGCTCCTGGGAGAGCAACATCCAAGCTCTTGGTGATGGTGGCTGAGGGAACCCAGGCTTTCCCAGCTGAGCCAAGTTGCACGCTTCCTCTGCGTACCTAAATATAGCCATGTGGAGAAGAGAAATGTTCCCATGAGCTGTTGTTTTTCTTCCTGCTGCTATCTCCTCCTCCAGGCTGCACGACTCCCCTAACAACTGTCCTTCTGGTAAATGCACTTGAAGCAACACAGATATACCGATCTGACTGAGGCTGCACTGGATCTACAAGGAGGTGATTCTGGTTCACAGCAAACTGAAAAATTGAAAGAGAAAAGGGGCTGCGGTGTTGCTGAGCCACCAGCTTTGCCCTGGTGCCAGCAGGCTTTTGTACAAGCTCCAGAGGAGCTGGCGTTGCCGCGGGGTGGTTCTGGGCCCCAGCACCCCAGAGCTGTAAACAGACCGCCGTCTGCCCGCCCTGTCCCCAGGGAGAGCAGGGCCGTGGCAGAGGTAGGCTCCCGGGGCTGCTTTCACCCCCATCCCCGGGAGAGTTGCCCAGGCCGAGGGCCAGGCCTGTCCAGACCCACGTGCCCCTGGAGGTCCGTGCCCTGGGCTGAGGCTCCTGCCGGCCACCCGCGCAGGCTGGGGTGTGCTGGCGCAACCCCTGCCAGCCCGGCCTGACCACTGGGACCTCCCCACGCCTTCCCCCGGTGCTGCCGGAGCGTCCCAGCTGCGGCTCGGCAGCGGGCGCCGCCATCTTCTTGTACGGCACCGGGCGCCGCCATGTCGCCGCGCCCGGCGGGCGGGGCGCTAACGCTTTCAGCAGCCCGCCCTCCCGCGTGGGCGCCGCCGCGCAGGGGCTGGCGTGCTGTGGCGGGC